CATGAAATGTTTCCTTTATTTTACATTAATGTAAAAATAAATTATTTTTCTGTTTAGGTGCTGCAACAGCAGAAAGTTAATTAAAACTCTCATAAATAAAAAAAGCAAACTGCTAAGTCTAAATTTAGGTCAATCAAACCAGTAAATATACCTTGTATGTTTTAATTTGGATATTGAAGATAATGTGTGTTAACAAGCAAAGGAAATACTTCAGTAAATCTGTTCATATAAAGAAATATGCAAAGTAGTGCTTCTATTTCTGTATTGATTTTACTTCAGCTATAAGAAGACACTCACTAAATATCCAACACTGACAGCAGAGAAAATTGAGTTGTTTTGAATGAAGAGTTTGGTTTTATATATTGTGGTGGGGTGTTGTTTTTTTTTTTTTCCTTAATAGTCTGATTTTTTTTTTTTTTCTCTTCTCAGTTTTCAATGGGTCCAGCAAATCATTGAAGGAGAAAGAACCTGCTCAGAAACACAAAAGCAAAGAGGCCACACCAGGGAAGGAGAGGAACAGCGAACATAAGGCTGAGAGCCGAAAAGACCAGGCTGCTGCTAATCACCATCCTACTACAAACACTGGCTCCTCTACGAAAGGGCTCACCGCTAACAACCACCACACTCTCCATAGATCGGCTCAGGACTTAAGGAAACAGGTAATGAATTGTACTCTTCTGTGGACACATGGGAAACGCAGACTTTTAAGGTGCTAGCTTCATTTTCCACTGCCTGACAGAGAGTGAACATGGCAACCCATAAAAGCATGCTCTGGAGACAGCAGGGAGTTAATTTTCAGCCAAGGAGAGAGAAAGAAGGAAAAAAGAAAAGTGGGAAGTCAGTGTGATAAACCACGCTTTACAACCCTGTCTTTGTATTATCCAGTGTATACATCTGAAAGGGTAAAGTTCACATCACTATTTATTAAACCTTTCCAACTGGCACTCCTGTTGTCCTCTCTGCTGGCAGTGCCAAGGTTGGCAGCACATGGAAAATGAACTCCTTTTGTGTATGGCTGGTCTGCTTGGGTTATCTTAGAGGCTCACCGGCGCTAGAGAAGCTGACGTTACGCTCAGGTGTCTTGTATTGCACGTGGGCAACACAAACCTCAGAGTCTGGGAAAAATGTTTTGTCCATGTATAAAGACGGTGCTCCAGGATATTCCCTCCTTCATGGTGGACATACCAGGTGGGGAGGAATTCAGAGTTTCATGTTCATGGTTGAAAACTAGCAAAAAAAAATCAGCAAGAGGTTTGTCTCAGCCTGACTGGTATTTGAGCGTGGAAGTTTAGCAGACCAGTCTCTTGGTGCTTCTGACTGGCATTTCAGCAGGATGCATCTACATCTATTTTTGATGGCTGGATCGAAGGGCTCCTAAAATAGCAACTGTCAAATAAGTTTTTATAAAAGAGTTTCACAATCCCTGGTCAGTGTCCTTTTTCAGGCTGGGGCTGGATTAGCAGGGTATCTGTGCTAGGGCAGTGCAGTACGGAAAGCTTGCTGCACTTATGCCTTATATATATATTTATTTATTTATTTATTTATTTTCCCAGTGGTTAATTCTCAACAGGCTAATTAGAAACAGTCTTTATTTACTGGCATTAAAGGTTTTTCTTCCAAGTAAGCTGGCCTGGATTACAGTGGAAGTGGAATTGTCATCTTGCAGAACCATCAAGGCCTTAAATGTCACCTCTCAGTCATAGGCTTGGAAATTCAAAATGGCAAAAAGAAAAACAGTGGTGCTCTTGCTGAGGAAATCTTTAATGCCCGATGCTGCAGAGGTGGTTAGCTTCTTCTGAAATGGCTCCACTGGATTTGTATTATCTTCTAAATGAAATCTGAGATCATGAAGGCTACGTACACTTTATTTCTCTGTACTTCTGTAAGACTTGAATTTTTTTTTTTATTCTCCCATTGCAATTTTTGCTTATCTAGTCATCAACTTTAATGCCAGGCTTCTTTTGCATCCCTTCAGCTTTCTTTTTTGTGACTACCAGCATCCTATGGTCCTTGCCCTGACATTCTCTGCCATGAACTCTTCATGTCAAACTTAAGTTTTCCAAAACGTTAAGGATACGCTTCATACTTAATTATTTTAAGTCACTGGAACACTTGCATGAAATGCTTTAAAGTTTTATCATCAAAGTATGTATGGTTAAAATTCTTGTGAAAGTCAGCTGCTGTCACTTGTGAAGGTATTTCTGAGAAGGGAAAAGACAGGTGTAGAAGAATTTTGTCCTCAATCCAAGTGAGTTTTGCTTCGTAGAGTATTAGATGTTTTCAATTGTGCTACACAAAGTGGAGAGAAATTCTAAAGCAATGCAGTACAACCAACAGTCATGCCACACAGACACCTCACAGAGTGTGGTCCTCAAGCTTCAGAAAATAAGGGGGCTGTAAGTTGAGATGATGAGTTTGTTGTGGTTTTTTTGTTTGTTTGGTTGTTTTTTTAAAAAAGGTTAGGCATGGCTATAAATACCTGAAGCGCGGAGGCCAAATGGATGGGGCCAGGCTCTTTTCGCTGGTGCCCAGTGACAGGACAAGGGGCAATGGGCACAAACTGGAACACCAGAAGTTCCAGACAAACTTAAGGAAAAGCTTCTTTACTGTGAGGGTGTAAGACTGAGAGGGGAACTTATCAATGTGTATAAATACCTGAAGTGCGAAGGCCAAATGAATGGGGCCGGGCTCCAGACAAACTTAAGCAAACACTTCTTTACTGTGAGGGTGACAGAGCCCTGGGACAGGCTGCCCAGAGAGAGTGTGGAGTCTCCATCTCTGGAGATGTTCAAACCCACCTGGATGCCTTCCTGTGCAACCTGGTGTAGAGAACCTGCTTTGTCAGGGGGGTTGGACTGGGTGGTCTCCTGAGGTCCCTTCCAACCCCCACCATTCTGGGATTCTGGGATTTAAATTTTCTTCTGCAACTCACAGTAACATAAGTACTTTCTTACTGATTTTAATGAAAATGTGGCTGTAACTAATTAAAGGTGGATTATTCATTCTGCCTGACAGAAAGGCTTAGCTTTGTGGAAGACCTTAGATGTAGCAGTTACGTGACATTGCTAAATTTCCTGTCCTTGTCCTGAGTCTTTGTTGACTTCTTCAGTGTTTTCCGAAAGGAGGGTTGTTTTCCCAGGGTGCCAGCCACATGTTCCTCCTCCTTCCAGTATGTTTTTGCTCTTTGTTCACGTGCATTTACATGGTTTATTTATGTATGTGTTTTTGTTTTGTTCAGTCTTGCAGAAAATAAAGGCAGAACGCTAGAAATTACCTGAGGTTTTCTTTTTTCCTCTCTTTCTTTCTTTCCTTTTCTGATGTGCACTTGCACTTGTCAGATGTTCCCTCTCTCTTTCTTTCTCCCTTGCTCTCTTCCCAAATCCTCTACTTCAAAGGGGTCGTGGGCAAAGGAAATGTAGTTCAATGGGGCCCTCTCTTGGCCTGATATGGTAATTTAGCTCTGCAAAACTCATAGCAACACAAGTTCGAGATCAGTTGCATAACTTGAATTTGTTTCGGACCAAAACTGTTGTTGGTGTTGTTAATATTGCTGTTATATCTAACAAATTGTTTGTTGGTTTTATTTTGTGTGTGTGTGTATGTGTCTGGAGGATGGATCCTAGGTTCTGTGCAGAGGTGTTTATGTAGACCAGTTCAAATCCAACAAACAGATTGCTGCAAGACTATGTGCTGGTCCCATTTGGTTTTTAAAAGACAACAAAATTTAAAATCTGTCGTACCATCTTTTACTGCAAGGCAAGTGTTCAGTAAAATGGAGAAAAGAGTGATCTGAAGACAAATACATGTCAGCAATACAGAAGGTAGCTGAAAAGCAAAGAGAAGGTTATTCATCTCCCTAGTTTCACTTATAGCTCAAGGCTTTGAGTCATGTAAGGCTAATGTCCATCACTTTGTTATTATTGGAATTAAATTGACTTCTTTCTTATGCGCTCAGTGTAAGCACTGCCTGGGGATGGAGCTGTGGCATAGACCTCCATTTGGTGAACCTGCGCACCTGGCAGTGTGGCCAAGTTTTTTAGGCCGACTCTGTGTGTGTTATGTTTGGTTTGGGGGGAGACATATCAACAGTAGAAAGGTAAGAAAATGCTTGCCACAATTTCTTCTTTCTTTCGGTTCCAATCATCTGATGGGTCCTCAGAGACAAGTACAGACCAGGAATGAAGAGGTGATGACTGACCAGCCAGAAATTCACATTTGTCAATGTGAAATCCTGAATCCACCTGTTGCTTTGATGGTGGGCTATGACCACATTGTTTGTTCTACTTGCTTCCAGCTGGAAAACGTTTGTTGCAGCTATTTCCATTAGAAGCATGGTCTGTTCTGGTCTATATAGTAGTGCTGTATCTTAAACATTATGCTGTCCTCTCTGAAAACGCTCAAGATACCTGTGGGCATTTGGGGAGGGAAGAGGGAGAAGCATTTGAAAATGATCGTGTTGTGTCTGCTCTAGAAAGATGACGGTCCCGAGGAAGTTTTCAGCAGTGTTTCTTTCTTGTGGTGTCTCCTCAGTTAGCAACCAGAAAGAAATAAGTGAATACCTTGTAGTATTCTGAAAGCTAAGTGTCCTCTACTTCAAGATCTGTTCATCATGGGAATAACTTCACTAAGTTTGGAAAAACCCGCAAAATAGTGTTCTTATAATCTAGGATTGGAGGTTAGATAGGCAAAGCTTATGTACCTGTTCACTTCAAGATCTGGCCCTGAGAGATCTAAGCTTTCATAGTGTGGAGGTGTTCTAACAACTCTAAACAGTTGTGATAAATTGCTGTTTTCTTAATGAATTCAGTTTTCCAGAGTTTTGTATCTTGGCAGTTTTAATTATGGCGTAAAGCTGATGGTGCTGATGGCATGTTTGCCTTTGAAGAGGAGGAGCTGTGAGGATATTGCCTTTCTCCATGAGCACTTCTTCCATGACTGTGTGTTGTTCTTAGGCCCTGTGTCACCACCACTTGCTGAAGGAGTGCTCCAGATGGCCCTTCAGACTTCTGGTCACAACTTCTCCAGAAAAAATCATAGGAAAGCTGGAGTGACAAGGTACCTCCATACAGCCTGACTGCTCACTCTGAGGTGTTGTCTTCACTGTACCTGACAGCACAGTAATACACCTGTAGCCTTCTTGAAACCTTCTGGAAAACCTCCCATAGAGGAAACTCCACAACATCCACTAACACCTTCTTCTGACATTTTTATTTTCCTGCTAATGAGCAAGTTTCCTAGTTGTGCCTCAGATCATTGTTGTAGACAACTAAAAGGGTTTTTTTTCTTCTGCTTTTCCCAATGAGCATTTGCTGTCTCTTTTCAGAGTAGCTCCTTACGTGTCAGAACACTGTTACAGAGTTGTCCCATAGTCAGCTCTTTCACACTAATAAGCCCAGCTCCCTTGGCTTTTCAGTAAAGATCATATTTTCAAAATCCTTGAGTGCTTTGTGCTCTTGCTCCACTGTCTTTTAAGTTTTTCTCACGATGTGGGCCCAGTGCTGGGTCCAGCCCTGCTCAGGAAATCCTGAGCTCCTGTCCCTCACTTTTGGCGTTCTCAGAGAGTGGTTTGCATGCTTCGTGCTACCGTCGCGTTTTGCAGCTCTCTGTGGTCCCCAAATATTATTCCTCCCCTACTTGTATTTGATTGCTGCTTCCTATAAATAGCACTTCCTCTTATTGTAGAAATATTCTGAAATATGTTCTTTAAGATTGCCTTTGATTTTTGCCTTGTCCCCAGAGTTCTTACAGCCCCTTCCAGGCATGTCACTGCCAAATTTTACAATAATCCAAGTTGCTGATAGAAGTACTTGGTAGAACCAAGGCCAAGACAAGTCCTTGCAGAAAGTTGCCTGAAATGCCTTCCCAGGATGACAGTGAACTGTGGCACCGTACCTTCTCTTGAGGATGACTCTATTTAATCCCATTTGAAGCCACTTTAGAGTAATTATATCTAGGGTGTGTCTCAGGAGCTTGTCTGATAGAACGTCACATGGGACAGTGACTTGCGCCCTGCTGAAGCAGAGGTGCTTCTTTACCTGCTCAGCCAGGTGTCTTGCCAGAAGATGATTAAATTAGTTTGATGTGCCGTGGTGCCAAAACTATGGGTGGAGGGGTTTTTTTGTTTGTTCTATTTTTTTTGGTTTTACCATTATCTTATGATCATTTGTGTGTTTACAAATTAACTGTTTGATGATTTGTTCCAGAATGACTTTAGGGTTTGAAGTTAGGTTGACTCTGCCCGCCCTCAACTTATTTCCAGGAACCATGCCCTAAGTCACCTAGGTACATTTTAGGTCACTGGGGTTGCCTTCCTAGCTTTTTTGCTGAAATTGGTTGTGTTATGTATCTGGTAAGTATTCAGTCAGTGGTACTTTTGGTGAAGGGTAACACAAAAGAAGCACAAACGCTTTAGCCAAACTGTTGCATTTGTTTTCCTTCCTTGTGTGGTGGTGGATCTCTGCTGTTCTTTGTTGTCTTTCTATTTTTAAGGTATTTATAAATTTTTATCTCCCTTGCTAACCGAAGTTTCTTTAGCTCCTTGGCCTTTCTGATTTTACCCGTTCATGCTTTTGCTGTTCCTATATAGCTGCCCTTAGTCACGTAATTGTGTTTCGACTTTTTACTGTGATTCTTTTCTAATTTTCCAGTCATTGGAGAACTTTGTGAACAGCCATAATGGCCTATACTTTGTGCCCTTCCTCTGAGTGGGAATTGCTTTGCTTTGGTCTTTTTGCAGGTGGGGGTTTCTTGTTTGTTGTTTTTTTTTTTTTGGGGGGGGGTTGTAAGTCTATTGTCCTCTCTCTAACTGTTGTCACATCTTAGAATTGAAAACTCATTTTATGATCACTGTCACCCAGATTACCTTCCCCTCCCAGTTCTCAATCAATTCTTCTCTGTTAGTCTAGATGAAATCTGTAATCGATGTTCCTGGCTATTTATAAAGCCAGAGATGTTCAATGCTTGTTCTGACTGCTGCAGGCAGGAGGCAATGTCTCAGCAGCTCTCTACTCCTGTCTTCTCTGTGGCATGAAAAAGCTCTGTAAAAGTCAAACCCCATTTCAAATGCAGAGTACTACCTAAATTTCAAGGGAAATGGGTAAACACATTTCTGTTAGCAAGTGTTTGCTTTCCAGATGGTATCTCTTATGTCTTTAGAAAGCTCAGGGTAAAAACTTAAGTCATCAGTTAACTGGATTTTCCTTGAGTGTTTCTACCTTGGAAGCACAGGAAGGACAAGAATATGGATGGATTTTAAAAGGGTGTTACTCCTTTTCCAGCTTCTGGAGCACAGAGGAGAAAACGTGGACAGTAAACGTGTGTACACATAGGTGTGTGTGTGTGTGCAGAATCCTCTGGTTCCAGTTCCTCTTCTACAAGCCCGTAGCATGATGTTTTCAGTCTCTATTTGATCCCTGGTTTATAATATTTTATCCTTACTTTGTAAATGACTACAATTCCTACATTTATTTGAGAGAACCTGACGTGCTGACTAATTTGGCAAGGATTTTGAAATCCCGCAGGGAAGTATCATAACTTTGCAGGAATGGTGTTATTCACCTGAGCACTGGTGAGGGGTAATTGTGCTGTATGCTTTCACTTTGAGCGCTTTCATCAACGTTCCTGATTTTTGGATGTGTTTTTCTGCACTCGCAGTAGTTTAAAGAGGTGAGAAGGCAATGCTTAAACTTGTTTAAATGCTGAAATTTGAGGTTTAAACTTGAACTTCATTCTGTTAGTAGTGGGGCTTAGCTTTGGCAGTGCTGAGCCATCACAATTCATTTCGAAGCTGAGGGTTGCTTTTGGTGCTGAATGTGTCTTGTAGTTAAAATACTAATTTTAGTTTCATAGCTGGGTTTAAATGTCTAACAGAAAGCAGTGCAGTCCAGCAATTCTCTGTTCCAATGACACATTAGTGAGCGATGAATATGATGTAATAAAATGTGTGTCAGCAAAACTGCCCAGATATCAAACTTTAAAAAAAATGCATTAAACTACTATATACATTTAAATTTCAAATGAATGACTTCAGCAACAAGATGCCTCCCAAGATTTAATATGTATGACAGACTGGATCCTTCATGGCCATCCTGATCTGTTGGGTGCATGTGTTTAATATCTCTTTTTATTCGTATGTATGTATAGACATGAGATTGGTTTGAATCTCTGTGTGTGATTTTTGCAAAACACGTCCATTCCAGTTAGAGCAGATAGCATACGCTGGCCAGTTTGTCTGCTGAGAAGTAGTAAACTGTGTGTGCACTTAATGGGGGTTGGGTGGGAGAGGGATAGTGTCTGTGGGCCAGAAAAGGAGATAATGAAAGTATTAGTTTGTAAATCAGACTACCTGTGTTTTTTGATACCATAACAGGCTTTCTGGTAGACAAGGAAGGGGGTAGTGGAAGCAAGGGACCTCACCCTTCTTAATGGCAGGGGCTTTGTACCCCCTGAAAGCAAGGTTCAGGGGGGACTTTTTGGTTTGTTTTTCTTTTTTAATATTTCTGTTTTATTTTTTTTATTCTGAACGCCCAGTCCCTCCTCTTGCCTGGGTGAAAACTGTTGTATGAAGATTGTACGAAGGGGCCAGGAGTCAGGATTGCAGAATACGGTTGTCCAGCGACTGGGACTCTATGGCTGAGTGGTAACATTATTAATTTACTTTTATTTTTTTCTGTTTCCTTCCTTCTGCTCTCCCTGCAACACTCCTGGCATTGCAGGTTTCTAAAGTCAACGGGATCACTCGAATGTCATCTCCGAGTGCAAATGCAGCCAGTGCCAAAAAGATGAGAGAAGTCAGACCTTCACCGTCCAAAACTGTGAAGTACACTGCAACAGTGACAAAGGGAACTGTCACATACACCAAAGCCAAGAAAGAACTGGTCAAGGAAACCAAACTAAATCACCACAAACCCAGTTCACCTGTCAACCACACAATCTCAGGGAAAATAGAAAGTAGCAATGCAAAAACCCGCAAACAGGTGCTATCCCTTGGAGCATCCAAGTCTAACAATACCGCTGTTAATGGTGTAAAAGTCAATGGAAAGTTGAACCAAAAGACATGCACTAAGGAGGTGGGGAGACAGTTAAGGGAGGGGCTGCGCAATTCGAAGAGGAGGCTGGAAGAGACGAATCACATAGACAAAATACAGTCGCCCACCAAGAGAATGAAAGGACCCGTCAACTTGGCAGAAGCTGCCAGCAAAAAGGCAGCTGTAGAAAAGCCTTTGCTGAATGGACACCTTAAAAAGGAAGTGCCAGAGAAGAGTTTGGAAAGAAATAGGCCGAAAAGAGCCACTGCTGGAAAGAGTACGCCAGGGAAACAAGCACATGGCAAAACTGAAAATGCCTCCTGTGAAAATCGTTCTACCTCTCAAGCGGAGTCCTTGCACAAGCCACAAGACTCAATGGGAAAGCACGAAAAGGGCAGTAGTAAGTCTGGGTGGGGGATGCTGGGGGAGATTCCCATCCTTAGGCCCTCCACCAAGGAATTTCATGACCCACTGATATACATTGAGTCAGTCCGAGCTCAGGTAGAGAAGTATGGGATGTGCAGGGTGATTCCTCCTCCAGACTGGAGACCTGAGTGCAAGCTAAATGATGAAATGCGGTTTGTGACACAGATTCAGCACATACACAAGCTAGGCAGGCGCTGGGGACCCAACGTGCAGCGGCTGGCCTGTATCAAGAAGCACCTCAAATCTCAGGGCATTACCATGGACGAACTCCCACTCATAGGTAAGGGGGGGCTGTGGTTTCACTGGCCTTTTGCCGCTGCTTGTTAGTGTCCATATACAACTTTATGCTCCATTTACCTTTATGCTTAACCAAATCCCTGTTCAATTAACACTGCAGGGCTCTGGATCTCTCTCTTTATCCATCCGTCAGGCACGACGCAGGTAGGTTGTTGGAGAGCTTTCCAGGGAGACTTTATATCGCCATTTTCCTCCTGCCAACTCTTTATTTCACCCAGGGAAAAAAGAAATGCTTCTTGGGGTCTCGGTCTCTAGATTTCAGGATCTTCTCCTTTCCCTGCTGTTTATTTTTGTAGGTAGTACAACTACAGACATCGATAGCCTTGGTTTAAATGTTGCCTCAGAATATTTTTTGGACCTTTCTAAAGATGTTTTCCAAACAGGTTGCAATACTGCTAAGCTTTAATACAAACATTTATTTTTTTTTTCCCCATTCCTGTAAAAGCATTTAACCAAGGGGGAAAGAAAATATCTTGGAACTGACTTCTATTTGGGTACTCAGACACTTAAAATCACAAATTTGCAGTGACCTGCTGACATTTAACAACCATTAAGTGTCAAGAATAGGCAGTAAAATGTGGTTGATTGCAAAATGGAGGTTTCATTATTTCTCCCAGCAGGTGTCTGCCAGGGCTAATGCCTGAGTGAGAATCACTTATTTAACAGAATTCTTGGTTTATGGTCTGCTGTCAAATATGACACGTGACAAAAATGTGACAATACTTTGTAAAAACATGACAACAGCAGCATACAAATGAACTATTGAATGAGCCACCTCCATCTCTACTGCCTTTGCAGCCATGACATATTAACAAACCTGTGTTTTTAATTTTCCTTAGCCCTTCCCTTTGTTTTTGAAGTATTTTGACTCAGAGCTCACAGGACCTGCATGTTGCAACTTGAGGCTAGAGTTTTGCCTTTGAGGCATTATCCGATCAGAGGCAGCTATCAACGCTAGTTGGATTAAAGGACACACTTTTCTGTTTAAACTGTTCACAACACCCCTCCCCCCTGCCTGGTTTTTTTTTTATATCACATATGGTAAGTGAGTGAAAATTCATAAAAGCACACCAAGAGATTGCAGAGTTTATGATGAACCGATGCAGGGCACGACAGAGAAATGACAACTTAAGGAGAAGGAACGAGGGTTAGCTCTCTGTTGCAATAGCCATGCAAAAGCATTGAAGGAAATCTGAAAATTAAAATCACTCAAGCAGCAATAAGTGAACATTTTGTATGCCTAATGTATGCAATGGTTGTATGCTAATAGAGAAGAATAATGAATTAAATTTACATTGGCAAGAGAGAGAAGAAAATGTACAAGACAGCTCGATTAATGCTCCTGGAACAATGTTAACTTTTTAATGAAACACCTTAACGCGGTATTAAGATGGCATTACTGTTAATTATTTGTATTATTTAAGCACCTAAGAGCCTAATTAATAGGCAAGGCTTCTATTCTGCTTGGTGCCACATAACCAGAGCAAACAGTGGCTTCTTACAAAATTCGTATCCTGTGTGTATCCTTTCTGCAGTTAATTTCCTACCGATCTTGTGTTTAACATTAAAAACAAGATGGAGAAAAGTAGCTGGAGATCATCAGTGTCCAAAGATGAGAGATCTGTTGGTTCCAGCAGGAAAGCTATAAAATGATCAGTGGTGATAAATGCAGACTTATTTAAGTAGACATGCATACATATCCCTCCTTTCAGGGCCAAATCACATTTCCATTGAAGTAAGTGGGAGTTTTGCCAATGACTTGTGTAGTGCCAGCGTTTGGTATTAAATGCATACCTGAAGATTTAAGATTTTTTTTTTTCTTTAAAATTAACTTGATCACTAGGCAATTTTAAAAAAAAATCTAACTTAATGAAATTAAGGCAATTAAAAAAAAAAGTCAGACACTATTTCTGCATAATATATATCAGGTCTCCTATTTAAGCCATTTTGCTATAGGTGCTGATAAATGGTGTTAAAAACTCCCTTTTTTTTTCTTTTTCTTTCTTTTTCTTTTTTCCTTCAGCCTTTCAAGGAGAGTTTTAAGCAGTATGCTTAGGTCAGTCCTGGAAAACATCAGCCTGAGATATAAATGCTTCCAAAAGTTATGACTGTGTGAAATTGAATTATAATTGAGACCATTTTGTAAACCTGAGCTGTAACTGGCCCCGTGGAGGATCTGCCAGATATGTGAGGCTCCGGTTGAATGATGTGCTACTCGAGCTCTAATATTGCAGAGTGATTATGAGCGATCATTCCATGATGCAGGAGAAAATAGCATTTCTTAAATAGCTCATAAACAGTGTTGAGACTAGGACCTTAAGCTGAGTGTGTGCTCTTTGTCCCGTTGGAGAACACGTATAACATTAAACCTGGAGTATGTTACTCGACGTTATGTAAGTCGCTACGTATGGAGATGGAAAGTCATCCTGAATTATGCCTTCAGCTTATTTGTGGACCGTGCATATAAAACACTAGACCAAAAAAATAACAGCCTGTAATAGAGGCCAGCTTGAAAGTTATTTTATGGGGAAGATTGAAGAGGAAAGAAAGAAAACCTTGCAAACTTAACCCACCCAATGCTGTTTACCATTTCTCAGCTTCAAGACTTAACCATTTTGACCCCACCCCCCAAAAAAAAAAGTACTAATAATAAATTACTAATAAAATAATTAAATTGGATAAATCTGTTGCTCCATGACACTCCACCATTGCCATAACCTCCTCAAAGCCTTACCCTTGGTTTTGGCTGCAGCCAAAATCCTTTCCCCTCTTTTCACACCTTTACCCAGCACTGTTAGCCTGCAGCCTCTGGTGCGACCTCTGCCTCAGTCGCAACCGTTGTCATCCCGAAATGTTGCACGTAGGTTGACACTGCTGAGCCTCCCTCTTCACTGGGTTGGCTCGAGTGGTGGAAGAGGGGAAAGCAGAGGGAAGAAGGAAAATTGGGATCAGCTATGAAGCGTCTGAGATGCAGCTCAAGGTAGTTAGAAGAAAGTAATGCTGCTTGCACCAGCCAGCCAGATGATATGACCGACCCATAACATGCTGTAGCTGTGCATCCGACAGTAAATATTTACCATAATGCTGCTTCTTGCACTTCTCTGTTGTATAATGGCATTTCTAAGTGCTCTGAAATGGCTATGGCATAATGATTTTTTACTTCTCCCAGAGAAGGAGAGACAATGTGGCGGCAGCGATGTTGATGCGAGTTTTGTATTAATTCTCTCTTTTCCTTCAGCAGTGCCCTGTTGAATTGTAGGTGGTCTTTGGTCTGTTTCCTCACTCTTTCTACTGATGATTTATTGCTGTACTTTGAGAGTATTTATGATGTTTCTTTTATTGTTCCTCATCCATTTGGCTGCTTTTTATGCTGCAGTTTGTGTAATCCTCCGTTTTTATTTTTTGACTGGAGTATGAAATGTGCTAGTCATCTTAAAACATATGAAAACATAGTGGAGTATAAAATATGCATGGCCTCAAACTGGAAGAATAATGTGGCTGAAACTTTTTTCTGCAGTTAAAGGCACCAGCCTCAAAGAACCCCCTGCCTCCCTTGTTTGTTTTGGGGTTTTTTTTTAAAGGATTTTTACCCTGTAGTGAAATGAATGATGTTACTGTGCTCCTTATAAATACTAAATGTATTCAAAGTGTTGTGCAGACATTTGATAATCAATGTTTCACCTACAGAAAGGACAGGTACTTGCCATTTTGATTGCCAGTACCCATCTTGACACTTGTTTTGTTGCTTCCTGTTATAAACCAGACATGGGACTGGTGGCAGAGGAGGGGAGGGTGAGAGTCTGTGGGCTTTTAAAGAGCTGGGCAACTCTCATCTCTCTGGCCACTGGGTAATGACCAGGGGAAAGATGAGTGCCAGGAGATAGCTAGGGGTGCTATGAGAAGAGAATGGAATGAACCTCGAGGAGGAGAGCAAATTTATCCATAGGGAAGGCTGTTGCAAATAGCAAAATATGACCTGCTGAATGAATTAAGCTAGCAAAACAGGCACACGCCTGCCTTTAGCAGGAGGCACGGGAGATAGAGACCAACCCTGCTCCAGTGTCCAGGTGACCAGAGCTGTACAGGTAGCACATCCCGTATGTGCCCAGCCTGGTAGTGAGCTTGATGTGAGCTGCCTGCAGCTTTCCTAACCTCCTCCTGTGTTTCCCTTTCCCCTCCTCTGCTGCCTGGCACATGCGGACCCCAGGAGGCTGCGAGCTCGACCTGGCCTGCTTCGTCCAGCTGATCAACGAGATGGGGGGGATGCAGCAAGTGACTGACCTCAAGAAATGGAACAAGCTGGCAGACATGCTGCGCATCCCCAAAACTGCACAGGACAGGCTGGCCAAGCTGCAAGAAGCCTACTGCCAGTACTTGCTCTCCTACGACTCCCTCTCCCCCGAGGAGCACAAGAAACTGGAGAAGGAGGTCTTGCTGGAAAAGGAAATCTTGGAGAAGAGGAAAGGACCTTTGGAGGGACATTTAGAGAATGCCTACAAGTTCCATTCCTTGCCCCGGTTTGAGCCCAAAAACGGACTCATCAATGGCGTGGTTCACAAAAATGGTTTCCGCAACAAGTTAAAAGAGGTCGATATCCCACTGAAGACGGGCAGGCGGCGGCTCTTCGCTCAGGAAAAGGAGACCACGAAGGAGGATGAGGAGGAGGAGGAGGGAGTTCTTAGCGACTTACACAAGTGTATATACAAGGTAACGAGGTGGGCTCTGCCGATTTTGTTTTGCAGAACTGACGATACCGTCATCTGGGTGGCATCCGGGTGCAAACCCAGCCGGCCCGAGGGAGCCGGTGGGCTGCAGTGCCACCCCCAAGGCAGCAGCGTAGCCAGTGGCCATGGCAGCTGGGCAGTCTGGTGGCTTCAGCCTGATCTGCATGTCTGGAAAAGCTGGAAAATGTTATTGTCATAAGAAAATGTGCTGGGCTCTGCCCCTCTTCATCTCCTTGTGAGAAGTTCCCTGAATAGCTCTGCCCAATTATCCTGGCAGACGCAGTTTTTATTTTCATTTTCTAGTGACATTTAAAGTAATGTTCTGCTTTCTCATATTTGCGAGTCTCTTGTTGAGCAAAGTAGTGCTCCACATCAAAACTAACATCTCTAGAAATACTACTACGTTTAGAAAGGGCAAATTGAAATGCAAACAATATTTTTATCCACGATGCCAGATTTTGCACAGCACTAACAGTCACATGGAGGCTTAGTCCTCCACATACCAAGTACTCCATCCATTTCCGAAGGAATGCTGACTCTTTCACTGTATTTTATTTGGCAGCCTCCCGCTCTGGAGTACGACTTGGCACCGCAACTCGCAGTGCAATTTTCAGTTGCATTGAATTGTGTAGCTGTGCTCCAAGAGGAATATAATGTTGAGTGTCTGTGCCCAGTAAAGGAATGAATATGCTGTTCTTCCCCTTCCAATCTCGTTTCCATCACCAGGAAATGAAGCCAGATAGCCCAAAGTGGCTTATTGTTAAGCTATACGGGGACTGCATGAGCTCACGACTCAAGCTGTAAAAGCTTGCTTCAGGTTTCTTTTGCAGCCTGTTATGATTTGGCAGATCAAAAATTCTTTTACTCAGGGACTCCAGCCTCAATCTCACCTTTGAAAAGCAATCTCTTTGCCACGCTGCTGCTGGAGAGAAGCTTATCTAATGACAGCAGCATTTGTGAATAGTGAAGTGGCATTTCTGTTCTTTAATATCCTGTGCTTAATGATGTTAAATGAAAAACTTGATACAATTTACCCCGACTGCTGTATGAACAACCTGAAGTTTGGTGGGGAAATGCCTCCATCTTCTTTTCCAGTGCAAGTCCCAAGTTAATAGAAGAAACAAAGTAACTCAAAAATCAAGATTGGGATTTGTGAGAAGTATCCTAATTAGATTTAGAAAAGAAAACATAATAAAAATCACAGCTAGTATAACCGTCCTGAGTCTGCTGAGCCCCAGGCCTTTACCCCAAAAGGCTGAGAGCTCCCAAACTGCTCCTGCTGCCCAAAAAGCACTGGCAGTACTGACGGCATGAGACTCTGTACCAGTCCAACAGTACCTGGTAGAAATACTTTTGTTCTGAGTTCAGAAGCTGTTAGACACAAGCATTGCTGAGCCTGTAAGCTGGTGCTCTCCCCACCCACCAAAGCAGCTGCAGCACACAGAGCTGCTCAGGTAACACCTCGGGTTGTCCACCGTGGTGCCGGCAGCTTCCTGGACACCGGGGCTTGCCTGTTGGAATCCCAGCCCATGCTCATCTGCCACGCAGAGACTGGGAACTGCTGTCACAGGTGATGGACCAGGGAGAAAACAGGGGGAAGCAAATCTGTGGTGGGTTTCTGGAGAAATCATTGCTGTGGAGCACCCTGAGGGACGCCTGGTCAGTCTGAGTGCAGAGAGGTGTGTAGCTTCATTTTCACAGCAGTTTTTTTGGGGAAAGCCCTGTGGGAGGACTGGTGTGTGAGAACTGTCATTTAGAGCAAGCCTCAAGGTGTAGAAATAAGAAATTATGAGACAATCTTGATAGAATCATAGAATGGTTTGGGTTGGAAGGGACCTTTTAAAGCTCATCCAGTTCCAACCCCCCTGCCATCAGCAGGGACACCTTCCACTATATCTTGATGTATCAGAGTAACCCACAAGACTTGTAAAATGACTATAGTTCATCACTAGGCTTTTTAATAAGACTGAGGTGAGGCGGTGTTGGTTTACGGATTTCAGCAGAGAATACTTCATGGCATTTTATGAAACAAGCCTTTTAATCCTGCATTTGCTGCTTTTCTTGAATGAAGGTATCCTTCTGTGCATGCGTCTGCGGAGGGGAGAGTGTTCTTTACCTGTTAACATGTTTCTGAGAAAATCTGAGATTTGTTTAACAGAACATTCCCTCATGTTACAGTTTCCAACAGATGATGGGATTGTAATGATTCCTTTCTAAAGCACATTATTAATTCTAATTAAAAATAAAAAGCATACACACACACAAAAAAAAAGCAACCCAACCCATCCCTTTGATAAATGCCCAGGTCAATAGATTGAGGGCTGGAGCAGAACATCATAATCACATGGCTGTAGTCCAGTTTAGGCCAAAAAGTCTGTGCTTCAGACCATGAAGAGGACATATATTTAGGATTTCACATAACAGTGTCTGCAGTCAGCACATGCTTGAGCTGGAGCGTGTTTTTTAGAAAGACACATCGAGTCTTCCAGGAGTAGTTACCACCATATTGCAAGTCAAGGTCAGAGTAAATCTCCTTTGTGTTTGGCTGTTCTGCCAGGGCTCCCAAATTCTTTTCAGCATTACTCCTTTCCTGCTGTGCTTTTAAGTGTGTGCTGCAGGCTGCTGCCCTTGCTTTCTGCACTCCTAAACGTACAGCTTTTCTCCTTGACTAATAAAATGTCGTCGTTTGTCAGTACATGAAGTAAACCGCTGCCACCAAAGAAGGATCTGCTGCAAGATTTTCACTCTTCTCTCCTTTCCCCAATTTTAGCTCTGAAAATATTTTTAAAAATCTGTACTGGAGCTGACTGAAAAGAGCATTTGTTTCCATACAGAGCAAACTGAAGGCTTATTAGCAGACCCGTTAGAGGGCCACACAGGAGAAATCACCAACGCAAGTTTTGCCATCCCTCACCTGAAACCATCCCAGAAATCCCATACTGAGCTCTCTTCAGCCAGGGGCTCAGCATTTGCAGATTCTGCTTAACAGAAGTTCCTCCTTTGTGCCTGTGACTATTATGAAATCTCCAGTTTCTGCTCGTATTTATGGTTGCTTTAAGGTCTTTAACATTCATAGTGTTTCGGTGTCCTTCTCTGTGCCTTCCCTCCAGGAGTGGCGGGGGGGGGGGGGGGGGGGGGGCGGGGCGGGCTCTCACAGCCAATGCAGAAGCCATGGAAAAAATCAGGAGAGGAACCAGGAATTTTTTTTTTCCTTAAACCTTTCTGTTGTATACAGAGACTCTGCTCAGTAGCTTGAAGCTCCCAGAACAGTTGTTGAACTGTTGAGATATTTTTGAGGGTGCTGAAAAGGGTATTTTCCTCTTTGGCAATTCATTTTGTGTTCTGGTTAAAGAGCTGCATTACAGCATTTTAAATTATTTTCTGAGTTGGCGTTAGAGAATTTTATGAAATCCCTCAGATTAAAAAAAACCAACAACCAAACAACAAAAAACCCCTCAACCATTTAATTTGTGTTACAACTTTTAGGATGCTAAAAAGATACCAAATTCTTGATAGAGGAAGAAATGGGGATATCCAATTTTAAAAGGCTAAACCGTTAAGGTTTTCCACTTTCTTTTTTCTTGCTGCATATCTGAAAAATTGAAAGACATGGTTAATCTTGGAAGATGAGTCCTTATTCTTATTTTTCGTGTCAGACGAGAGGAAGAGGCAAGTAACTGACATGAGGAAGCTGCTGCGGAGCACGTGTTGGTTTGCAGGTGCTGGAGTCTGTGCTCGAGTGTGACGACTGTTGGTGCAGGTCCTGCAGTTTCCGAGAGTATTTGTTGTAAAAGGCTCCCTCAATAAATAATTCATGAGGGCATTAAAAGATGAAGGAAATTGCTTGTTGTATCACAGAGCATCCAATTCTGAAGTTTATGGGAATCAGAGGGCCCCAGGCCCTGGACATTTCACAGATTTTTTTAGTTACAGCCAATTATGCTGCATTCAATTTAAAAAGTGACAATGCTACAACTGTAGGAGCGTGGCTAAGTGATAGACTTGGCCTCTGGGGAAAAGCTGCTTGTTTGGTTGTTTCTAGTTTACTCTTGGGCATAGTTCTTAAATAAATTAAACACAAGAAAAGACTGAGGTAGTTTGGCAGTTCTGTTTCGTAATTGAAAAACTAGAGAGGTAATAGTCCGAGTAAACATTCATTTATGTGGAGTTTTGAAGTCTGTGGTTGCTCAGATGAGCAACCAGTGGACATGATGGGAGTTAGAGGAAGGAGCAGTAGATCTGGTGAGGTGGCAAAGATATTTTCAACTTCACATTTGCAGAGTGATGCTAGTTTCTGCCTGCAGCGATGCCCGAAAGCCACAGCAGCTAGTGTGGTGCCTGCCAGCTCTCATGGCTCACAGCTTGGAGAAGGCAATAGGAGTGTCCTTATCTGGGCACACTAGTATGTCTGGGCTGAAAGGAGCAAGTGGGTTCTCGTGCTCCTGCCTTCAGAGGATGCTGCCCAGAGCATCTGGTGTTATAAGAACATGTGAAAGCAGGTGTCTGGAAAGGTAGGTGTAGCTTAAGGAGAAAACCAAGTCAGATCCTCTTCTCCTACAGCAGTACCAGGAAAGAGAGCGCTCATTTGGCAATTTTACTGTGTTTTACTTTACTCAGCCTTGTAATAACAGATCCTGGTTCCTTGCATTTGAACTGCTTTTATTGCATTGAGTATAACTAGTTTTTGTAAGCAGGTGATTACAGTAATCTTGGTAAACTCTACCTTTTGTCACCATCACACACAATACTAGTTCGATGCTGAACGTCTCTGTGAATTTCCCATTTCCAATTTCCCAGTTTCCAATTTCTGTAGGTAAAGAGCATAGATAACCACATGGCCCTTTGATCATGTATTGGATTTGATTGTAAATGCAGGTAGGGTTGCCTACGGGGTCCTTTGCAACCTGTCATAGAAAGCTGGGCTGTATCCATCTCCTCTATTTATCAAACACAGAGCATCATGCTGGACAAAGCAATGTACCTGGCCACCTGGGAATGTTCTCTTGGCCTTTTAGATGGTTGGTTTGGTGATTCAATGTGATTAAATTTCTGTATCTTTTGAGTTATTTTCCCTCAGATAAGAAATGAACTTTAGACCCATGTGTGTTCTGGAGACTTTTCCTCTTTCCCCCTATTGTGATCTGGGATTGAGCATGTAAGGAAAACAGTGAGACCAGGGGGAATGAAGGCATGTTTTTTTTATTTTCACTTTTAATTTTATTTTCTTTTTCCACAGGGTAGGTCTGTTTCTTTAACAACCTTCTACCGAACGGCAAGAAACATCATGAACATGTGCTTCACGAAGGAGCCTACAGTAGCTGAAGTAGAGGTGAGGCCAACACAAGGAATGGTAAAAGCTTTTGTTTCAGAGGATTGAATATGGATATTCAGTATAGTTGATGTTCAGGCATTACCCTAAGTAGTTTAAGGCTGTCTAGAGTGGGAGAAAAATAAATGGTCAGATAGACGTGGTACTGATTCTTCCTTTTAAAATTTGTTGACATTTTTAATAAAGATGTTGAACTGAGGGAGAAAAAGAAGTCTTGATCTGTCATGTGCTGAAGCACAGAAGCCAAGAGGATCTAAATTCTGTCTTCCCAATTCATTGTTACTTTTAAGTATTTATATTCTTATTTTTAAGTAGCTTTTGATGTTGAATTACGTTGAGGTCATGAAAGCCCTGTAAATGTCTGTGTTTTATATTTTAATGAGGTACCTTGTTCAGTGAATTAAAAATGTATTGCCGCTTTCTCTTACCACAGCAAGAATATTGGCGGATAGTGGAACAGAAAGATTGCCACGTAGCAGTGCATTGTGGAAAAGTAGATACCAACACTCACGGGAGCGGCTTTCCCGTGGGAAAATCTGAACCATTTTCAAGGTAAGATCACCAAATCCACCCACTTTGTCAACTCGTGCCAGCTGCCCCGTTGTGAGCAGAGGTGGGAGCGCAGGGCTGGCAGGGCAGCTTGGCACTGGGGACGTTGGCACCAGGAACGTGCACTGACGTGTGTCTGCCTCTGTGTTGCCCCTCGAACAGGCATGGGTGGAACCTCACAGTCCTTCCTAATAATACAGGATCCATCCTGCGACATCTTGGTGCTGTGCCTGGTAAGCAAGTCGCTCTTCTATGCTTCCCACAGGCGTGAGCGTCCTCTAAATGTGCTGGTGTAGTCACCAAAGCCTTCTCCCTCTTTCCGGCCCTGGTTTGCTGGCTGGCTGGGTAGACTCGCCGTTGTATGTAGCAGGTGGTATTTAAAGGAATGAAGGCAGGTGTGCAGATTAAGAATTAATTACTAGTTGACACTGTATACCTGGGAGGAACCGGTTGTGCTTGCAGTTTCCCTTTCTGTTGTTGCCAGCACATCAATGTTCTTTGTGTCAGTGATGAAGGACAGAGCCTTGCAACTTCCTCACATGCAAACCTAGGCTGTAGCACTAAGCAAAGCATCACAGAAGTGTCCTGAGTGACTTGTCATAAGTGCTCCAGCTGCATATATGCCATTGTGATTTACTGGTAGAAATGTTAGTTGAAAGCAAAATTCAGTCACCTGTGCAGGTGTTGAGCCTGAACACACCAGCTGGGAAACAGGATACTCATTGACAAGTACACATAAACTTAACATGAGGCAACCTCCTCTGATCAACGACATTGAGCTTGAATTATGGGTATTTGTAAATATTTTTTACAGCTATTAGAAAACAAATATGTTCAAGGGCGCTGTCAGTGGCTGGTAGATATTTTGTTAGTGGAAAATGCTGAATTTGTTAAATTATTCTTTGTGAATTATTCACTCTGGTAGGAAGACTTAAAATTTGAGTCTGCTCGCCGATAGAACAAGATTTTCCACTGAAATACACTCTCAAACTGTGTTTTAATTAGAAACTGCAGTTACTCAAAACTCATTTTCAGTCTCTTTGTTTTAGGAGTGACAATTCCTTGGCTAAATATTGGCATGGTCTTTTCTACCTCATGCTGGTCTCGAGACCAAAATCACCTTCCATACATTGACTACTTACACACTGGTGCTGATTGCATTTGGTAGGTATTCCTGAGTTTTGTTTTCTTTGTGTTCACTGCAGTGACTGTCTGTAGGCTGGTGTCATCATCACCTTTTGCATGAATGAATCTCACCTAGAAGGTCCAGTGTGTGTGATTACAGATTTCATAGAAAAACATGGTATAAACTGAAGTGATGAAACACAAGCTCCTGGAAGAAAAGTTTCACTTTATCTTCCATGCTGTATCCTGAAATATTTATCAATGAACTGTTTCTGCTTGACACAGGGTTTAGTCTATGGATAGTTTTCATGACGTGGAAGGCAAATGACAGCTAGCCAAGGTAGGCTTCCCTTAGGCTGACAAAGAGACACTTGTCAAGCTAGCTCCATATTGTCACTTGTAAAATGGTTGAATCCATGCTGTGACTAAATAGGCACCGCTTTCTTATTTTATGCAAAATATCTTGAACTCTGTATCTACCAGGTCCCTAGTATTTTCTATTACATTAAATTTTTTCATTATCATATGATAATAATTTTTAATATGATTACACACATCATTCTAACATCTTAATGTGGACATCACCAGTTAGCTGCTAGCTACGTTTCATATTTTGTAGACACTTCCATGCAAATAGACTTAACACTTGGCTTATAAATGCTTTTGAAATGGTGAATCTTTCCTGAATACAGTGTAGTAGTATGTATTGTGGAATAATTACTGGAGGTAACTTAGAAATCCAAAAACAGCCTTGTTCACACACTAGGGAAAGGTATAATGTTGAAGAAGAGACCGGGGAGAATGCAACTGGTATGCGAAGAATCCTCTCCAAGGTTGTCTCCTGGAGAGCCTGGTCTGCATATCAATACAGGGGATGATGAATGAGATTGCAGTGGAAGTACAAGTGATGGAGGGGTTAGAGGAAGCAGGTTGCTGCTGGCCTGTTATGTGCCTTTCCAAGACGTTCCTTTGGTATTGGTGTTATAACCCAAGAGGATCCATCAGTGAGAACAATGAATGATAAGCAGTGTAACTGTATTTCTTGACCAGAGAAAATGCAATAAATGGAGAAGAAAAGTTATTTAAATGGTGCCCCATGCAAAGTTGAGAAGGAGGTTCCCTTTCAGCAGTTCCTCTCTGGAACTTTGAATTATGGAAGCTGTTGGCTCTTTGTTCAGTGTGACAGGAGAAGGCATGCAGAGACCCCTTTGCATCTAGAAGTCCCCGTGGTGGCAGTGGCAGTGTCAACTGCTCTTCATTCACGCACGAAGTGTGTACTTTGACCATTACCTTTAACTCCCTGCTGCTGATGTCAGGGGTGCTGACCCAGCTGTCATTGGGAAAGCACATGGCCCAGAAACAAGGTTTTGAAATCTTGGAGGAAAGCATTAAAGCAGGAGCTTCTCTCTGTAAATGTTTTAAGTTGAAGAAATGTTTTGTATTTGATCATACCAAGAGGTAAAGGTAAACACTGGATTATGCTGCAGACCTGGATTTGTGTCACTTTCTGTCATGGGCATTTCATGGCTCCTTTCTCTCTTCTGTGAATCAGAAATCTGTAATCCTTTATAATAATATACTATCAGGACAAATTGCTGAGCAAGCTACATTGTCCTCAACATTAGGTGACTCTTTCTCTGTATGACATTCATCTAGTCTTAAATGACTAAATTCCAAACAGAAGGTGTTCAAGAATCCCCTAATTAAGTTTTGAGGCCACTGTTCATATTGTGCATGTCAAAACGTGCCTTTTGGGATTGAAAAGGCTTGAATGCAGCCAGCCAAAGGTTTAAGAAAGGCTACTGTTTCTGGTTTTTTCCAAACCAAGAGGAATAAAAGCAGAGATGCCATTTGCTTTTTCTTGATGGGTTGACTTATGAGTACATAGCTTCAGGTGTACTTGTGATGATTACCTTGGTGAAACGTGGATAGCAAGCAGGAATAACTCATAAGAAGGAAGAAGCAAAACACTTTTGTCTGTAAAAGCTGTTCTTCAGCAAGGCTGCCAGGCTGAAGTATCAGGCTAGTATTCATTATTAATGCATTACATCTTCTAATATCGCAATAAAGTACCCAACTTTATTGAGGAAAAGATGAATTTAATAACTCTAGGTCTGGCATAATATCTGGAGTAGCCCTGACAACATTGCTTTCAGTGGCTGCTTCCGTGGTAACAAAGCAGGCCACTGAGCAGCAAAGCTCTCCTCGGTCTCGCAAAGTCCACCCAGCATCCAGAAACCAGGACAGATGCCTGTGGTGCTAAGAAGTCAGTGGTGCTTCATGTACCTGCAGATTGCTCAGGTCAGTGTCTAATCTCTCAGGTTTTACCTTCAGAAAAGTAAACAGGGGAGAACTCAGTTTTCATGCAGGGCAGAGGTCCGTGACCTCACTTTTTTATTCTGGAGGGATCCTCAGTGCCCATTAAAAGAGAGAAGAAAATCTTGTTCTACCCAAGACACTCAGAAGTCTGTGCTGGCTGCTCACTTGCCATTTTTATAGGTACAAGAAGAATTGTGAGTGAGTAAAATCACAGCAAATGCTACAGTTGCAAAGGATCTCCATTCCCCTCAGTCCTGCCAGCAGTCAGATAGTCCTGTGCACTTCTGTGCTGCCCCTCCTCTTCACACGTCCTTCCTCTGCTTTTTCCTGGACCCATCTCGTGAGGGAGTGCATGCCTGAATCTTTCAGCTGTTCCAGCTATATTTTTTGACTCTAAAGGGAAAAAAAAGAGTGGGCTCTGCTGTGTTCTGGGTTTGAATTTAAAATATTTTCATCACCATGTAAAATCTGTTATTCTAGCGTAACTAGAGCAGTACGTTACGTGCATGCAGCTGTTCTGCAGCTGTCACTGTTAGCAGCACAGGTACTGCAAAGTATTTGATACACAGCATGCATTTAAAATTGCTATTGGGACTTAATCCTGATGAAGTTCTTCCACTTCACCTCTCTATAACCCTAGGATTTCTTAGCAAGGTCCTAATCATTGTCAATATATATGTAAGGAGTCAGTCTATGTACACCTGGGCACCTTATGGTGGCTACAGTTAGCTGTATGAGTAGATACTGTCATCTCCTCTGGCTCTCAGCTTGAAGATCAACAAAGACAAATCAAAGTCATCATCAGTACAGTGAACAGTAACGAGATGTTCAAATCATAGGAAGTACAGCCTCCTACACACTCGTCAAGTAGGATAACTGTATGATGCATATGGAGTTAATAATAGTGCATGTTATAAGCAAATATCCTGACAAGGTCTGTAAGGCCAGCAGAACGCTTTATCAAATGGAGAGACTGGATGAATGACAAGAAAAAACTGCACCCTGTCCCCAAAATCTTTTCAGATTCATTCTCTTCTCTTGTTGCCAAGTTTGGAAAAATGGCTCTGTGTGTGTGTGTGTGCATGTGCAGATGGGCTCCAGGATGAGATCTCTTTGCTTAAAGTGAATGGAGAATAAGTAATGATAAATCTGGGGATGTTTTTTATTTACCTGAGCATAACAAATCCAAATAAAGTAACATCACAGATCAAGCCTAGCGTGGCAGCAACTCAAGGCAGGTTTGGGAAGCCCAGGATTTGCACTGTGTTTCCCACCAAGCTGCACTGCTCAGTTCACAGTTGTCAGGTACCAACTACCACATCTTGGGAACAGGTATCTCCTGGGTAGACATCAACCGTTACCCTTCTGGCAGGGTGTAAGCAAGAGTAGCAGCAGATTGTCACCACGTCCACCTCCCTGCATCCAGCAGAATAGCAGTTCTCTGGATGTGTGAAGCGAAGACCTGAGACTCCTACATTATTTCTTGTCACTTCTGCATAGGGAGCACTGCTGGCAGTGAGCACAGAGGGGACAACTGCTTCCTTGGCTTCTAAAAGAGAGCAGGATGTGCAACTCGGGGCATATAACCAACAGAGTTTTCAATCTCTCTTGCTGCTTCAGCTGCTCTTAGTCAGGTCTTTCTTTTGTTGCAAGGATTTGGGATGAATTGAAGGAATTGATGTGGGATTTGTTTAGTAAGCAAGGCAAGAAGGTCTTTGGCTACTTTGTGTACCAACAGTAAAAGGTGATTTGTGGTTTCTTGGTTGTTATGAACAGAAAACATTATTAAATAGCAGGATCCTTTGGTTCATGCACAGGTAATAAATACAACCACTTATGAGAAAGATGACACTACATATATTGGTGCTTATGGGATACAGACTTCTGTCCATAAGTAGCTGTTCCAGTGCTATTCAAATGCACATCATGCTGTTGCTGATTTTTCTTCTCTGATTCTGCAGAGCACTGAGTATTCACATTTCTGATCTGGGGATTGTGTGTCCTTTGGCATCTAGTGAACAACATCAGACTAAGTCTAAACAAACAACTTTCCATGAATCCTCAGTGTTTTACCAAAAAAGAACTGTGTGGGAAAACCTGTGTTTAATTTCTTTCTTTTAATCAATGGCCTAGTCTGAATTGCCTCTTCCTGTGTAGCTGTGGACCATTATTTACTCCACAGTAAATCTTTTTCTTTTCCTTTGACAAAACAACAGGTATTGCATTCCTAAGAACAAACTTGATGATGTGGTACATACCCTGCTGCAAGCCAATGGCACTCCAGGGCTGGAAATGCTTGAAAGTAACGTCATGGTAAGTTAACACTGGGAGAGGTATTCATTCCCATCTGAGAACCCGAGGCTAATCAGAAAGCTGGTTGGTTGGGGGGTTTATTTTGTTTTTGTCTTACACTACAAAGGTGCAGAAGCTGTTGTTAAAATCTGTCTGCTTTCTGCCTGCAGTGTTTACCCACATGGCATTTATCTAACAAGGCTCACACGTTAAAATGTTGAAATAAAAATAAAAGTGACAGTGCCATCAATGTCCATTTTTAATACTGTCTGTAATATATTTAACCTCACAAAGGGAGTGGTTTGTAATCAGTTCATCTGCCATGATTGACATATCATGGGTATGAGAAGCCTAATGCTTCAATGGATTTAAAAATATCTTTGGCTCCCTTGATTATTTTATGGATAACAATTTTCCATTTAGTGCATTTAAGTAGAAATTTGGGAGCCCACAACAAAAACAACTCCCTCAGCTGTCCACGTTGCCATCTCCAACAGGAGTGTTGTAGCAAGGTGGATACAACACCAAGTCTGATCTAGATGGAGGACTGAGTGGTCTGCCTTACGTTCTGTAGCAGTAGATAGCATTGTTTTGAGGCTTTGTGTTTGAGATTGTTTGGCAAGTGAATGTTTAAACGGTTGGTTTCAAAAGAGCCACTTCTATAATTCTCACTCCAAACACTCAGCTGCAGCATGTGCAGGAGAGAGAAAGTGAACAGAGCTGGGCTGTTGGCAGAGCACAGCTCTTCTCCCCACGTAGCGTGTGGCAATACCCACCCAGAGATCTAACTGTGAGAGAAAGTTCTGATGTATTTTTTTTTTCTTCCCTTTTTTTTTTTTTTTTTTATTTCTTTTGCTTTTCTGTCTTTCTAGATCTCCCCAGAAATCTTGTGTAAGGAGGGGATCAGGGTGCACCGTACTGTACAGCAGAGCGGGCAGTTTGTTGTCTGTTTTCCTGGATCCTTTGTGTCTAAAGTGTGTTGTGGCTATAGTGTTTCTGAAACAGTACACTTTGCTACCACCCAGTGGACAAGTATGGGTTTTAAAACAGCCAAGGTAAGTTAAGAAAAGGAGTTAAAATGGATTCACGGCCCTGCCGAATCTAAAACGACAGCAAACCAGACATTCCAGGACTGATAGCGTTGTGAGACTAGTACAACTACATCTATTTTTGTGGCATTTTAAATTAAAAAAGGAAAAAAAAAGTTCTGCAAGGCATAAGATGATCCAGCGTTTTCAGAAAAGCAACTGAGGTAATAATTGATAGCTAAAAACTTCTGTGTATTTGAAAAAATTCAGAAGGTTGTTATGCCTGCAGACCACTTTGCAAGGAAGCTTTTCAAAAATCCCATCAGAGCTACTGATAATATATTGTATTACACTTACTAATTTTTTTTAAGTGATGTTTTCTAGAACCATTAGAATCTCAGGTGCAAATATCTGAATAACTGTGCTTCTTAGCTCCTACGATAGGCAGAGTTAGTTAATACTCACAGCTGTATTGCTTGTCTTTCTCTGCCCTTTCATTCAGGAAAAGCTGTTGATCAGGGCAATTTCAATTTTAATCCTCTTGAAAGTGGTCAGGTTCACTGACCAGCCCATCCGATACTAAGCTGTAAATAAACCAGACTTCCCATTCCCTTTTCACATGACCGAGGCAGGTTGTCTGCAGACACAAACTGGTGAATTGCCCAATCATTACGATTTTGGCTGCATTTCTCTGTTCTTGGACAAAGAATGTATGTCACTAATTGTGTTCCCGACCTCCTCAAATACACTATGGGTTACAGATGCTATTTTGGTAGTGTTTTATAGCTAAGCCACTAGTAAATTATCATTTACAGCTTCAGACCAAGTCGTTAGTAGGTAATTAAATGTAATACATCCACAGTTAGGTTTTAGTTCTTTAGGGTTAATGGAATTCTTCCAGCCTGGTTATACAAACTGTATATTAACTTAGTTTGAAATAAAAGGTTATTTTATTACAGATTTATTCTGGGGGAAGGTGGGAATTGTATATGTGTGTAGGTAAGGAATGAGAAACCTGAGCTAACCTTTTCTGTCTGGAGGTACACAATGATATTAACTTCATATACTGTATTTATTGCTCTACCGAACATTTGTTTGATATTGTGAAAATGTCACTCCTGTAAGAGACAGAAATCACTATGCAGCAATTAAAAAGCTCTTCTTGGTGCCTCAAATTCTGAAAAACAGTTTGTTTTGATTAATTTTTAAGAGCTTTGCACTGGGTAAATATAAGCTGATTGAAAATCCAGCAGATTCCAATCTATGATAACCTACCTTGGAAACTGAAGTCACAGCTCTCACAAACTTTACAAGAACCACAGATACGGGTTTATATCCAAATAACTCTGGAAACACCCACTGCATTGTTCTTTTCCTTCTTTTGTTTTTTTTTTCCTTCCTCCTCTTACTTTTTCAAACTCTCCTTGTTTTTAACTCCCTTAAATTTTGGAAATTCTTCCTTGGTTCCTTCACGTTGCCATTTTCAAAGGCTGGCCGGGATTGTGCTTTTCAAAGGTTGTGAGATGTTCCGTGTAACAAGCAAGATTTCCCTTTTGGACTGTTAATGAATTCTCTGACAAACAACTGTACCCTCCTGTCTGTCCGTTCTCGACAGCAATATTGACAGTTCTCAGCTGTTTGATACACTAACTTTGTTTTCATTCTGTGGTACTGTGACCTGAGATTTTTTTTATAGTGTCTCTCTTTATATTACTAAACAATGTTGTTTCATATCTGTATTGAATCTCTCTCAATCTCCTTTAATATATGGAAAAATGAAATTCTGCATCTGAAACTGCATTGATTTCAGTTTATAAGGAATTGGCTTAATGGTTGGAATAAAAGAGTTTGTATAAAGCCTGTGTAAAGGGACAGACAGGTTTCACTTAAACCATACATGGAACCAGACTGCTGGCTTTTAAACAAAACACTTTTAAGAGCTCTCAAAATTTTAAACTAAGGATGAGGAGAAGGTTTACAGGTGTGGTGGAAGAGTTTGTGTTTGGAATGGCAAAGGGCAGAGGCAGTAAAACTCATTTAGGAAACAGGAAAACAGAATATTGGACTAAATTAATGTACTGTGGTCTAGAGGTTTGGAAATAAGAAGGAATGTTTGGTTTTAAAGGAGGGCTTTTGGTGGTCTAGGGCCTACCAGAAACTTGGTAGAAAGAAGAGACTTGGCCAGTACTGTAATACGAGAGGAAGAAGTACATAGGGCAGATGGAGCTAGACATCCAGTTGGAGCAGCACTGCTGCACACAGAAGAGACCCGATGGTCACATAAGCCAGGTGTAACTGTCACCTGTGACAGAATCCCTGTGCACTGATCTTCCCATCCTAAATAGGAAAAGCTGGGTATTAGGCTCCTGACTGTCCAGCTGAGATGTTGCCATGGGCTTTATATGTATCCCCCCCAAGTTTTAGTCTGGGTGAGGAACGTGCCTTTAAAACACCACACAGTTACCATTCCTTGGCTCCTGTCACAGGGCTCTCTTAGCCTGAGCAGACTGGGTTGCTTTCAGATGAAACCAAATGGGAAGAGGGTCTCCAGAAATAACACTGGTGGTGGCCACAGGACCAGGCTAGACTGCTCTGAAGTAAACCTCCCGTGGGTGCTTGGGTCCTCAGCATCAGCTGTATCACTGCACACCCACTCCTGCTTCACCGCACGGGATGGTGTGTAGACGTAGCCCGTGTTCCGCCGAAGGAGACGAGAACGGCTGCGAGGACAGGACATAGGATGATAATAGGACAAGGTGGTCTCCTCCCCCTAGCTAGGATTGTGGTTATGTTGGTGTTTCATGCCAGAACTGAAGTATCTTCAAGGGGCAGCTAGTCAGGAAATCCACACACGAAGAAACTCTTGTCTGGCTTCTCAGCAGTGGTGGAGCCCCGTTCCAAACGTCACTATCACGTGGCTGCGCTGTGATGGTGACCTGGGATTAAGAACCTTGAAAGAGCAGTAAACCACAAAATATCCACTGTTGTGGTGTTTCGTTTCAAAAGACAGGCTCACATAATGCCAAGGAGGCTTGTTAAACTGGGAATGCAGAAAGAAGGGTGAAGCGTTTGCCTGCAGCATAGAAATTGTTTAAAGATGCCGTGTTTGTTAGAGGCTCACAACACATGCACATCGCCTAGCAAAAAAAACCCAACAACATTCAAAAGGCAAAGCCCCACTAACCTTGGCGTGGCTAAACACCGGGAGAAGGGAGTCTGCTTGAAATGAGACCAAAAAAATCCCTTTTGTGTCCCAAAGATGAAACTGCAGATAAAAGAGCCACTCTAGCAAGATGCGTGTAAATGCACCCAAATGCAGACCAGAAAGAGATTTCAAAGGACAACTTGCTAAAGGCCAAGAGAAAAAATAAACGTAGAGAAGAATGAGACCGAGGCAATCAACATGGCTTTTGCAATGAGGTCATGGTCCCCAGGCCTTGAAACTTTTGGAAGGATATATGGCCAAAGAGATCCAGTTGACAGAGTCTGTGAGCATTTCTGGAAGGTTCCTCAGAAAAGGCTCTTAAAGAAATTAACCTGCCATGGGTTGAGGGGGAAAGTCCACGCACCAAAAAAATAACTGATTGAAAGAGAAGCAGAGGATGGGAACAAATGGTCAGTTTTCATCAAGGAGGGAGGTCTCTTCCCACGTTCCTCGGGCATTTGTACTAAGACCTGTACAGTTCAGTCTATCCATAAACAGACTAGAAAGGAAGTGAATAGTAAAACTAATCCTTTATACTGAGAATATTCGTGGTAATGGCAGCAAAAATTAAAGCGATGGGGAGTTACAGAAAGATTCCATGATACTGAGTCATCTGAGTGAGAAAATAGGTTGATAAATTTTAAATGACTCAGGAGTGAAAAATAATCCTAAATTGACAGCCACAGCAATGTTTTCTGGTGAGCTCTTGCTACTGAGGAAAGAGGTCGTTGGATTCCTATGGAGCTGCCAGCCTCCGGAGAGGTTTAAAAAAACCCCATCTTGAATGTTAGGAATTGTGAGGAGAGAAGAGAGGACAAAGCAGAAACATCGCCGTGGCACTTGGTGTGGCCATGGCTTGAATACTTGAGCAATTCCAAGTCCCTAATTGCAAAAGGAATATAGAGGAACTAGAAAAAGCACAGCAGAGATTGATGATTAAAGGTAGGAATTAGCCTCTGCATTAAGAAGACTACTCAGCCTGGAAAATTAATGCCTGAGAGACATAGACAAGAGTAAGATGGGATCACAAGTGGCAGGGTGATGATAATTATAATATGAATGTTCACTGTCTCTCATAACACTGCGAAACGTGTCATTAAAAGAAATGCTTAGGCACTAGGTCAAAAGCAAACAAAAGTCTGGTTTAAAATACTTATCCATGTATTTCAGTACCGTATGAAAGAGAAAACAGTTCATGGATTCAGAAATCCAGATACATGCACAGATCCAGTGCCTTGGGCTAAACGCAGCACAGACCCGGCAGGGGCTCGGGAGGTCCCAGAGCTGCCAGAAGCAGGAGCCCACCACGTCCCTCGCTCTTCCTCTATTTACCCGCTGTGGCCTCCCACCCTGGCTGCCCATGCGGGCTTTTCACCTGCCCTGGAGGGGCTGTTCTCACCCAGCCTCGGACAAAACACAAAGCAAATCTGATGTGCAACAAAACTCCTCGTACCACTCCTAGAAGTGCAGCTGTTCTGACCCCAGGCGGGCTCTAGCATCCTCTTCTGAAGAACAGTTTTCTTACCCGTGACCCTCTTTCGAACACTTTTTGGTCAGCAAGGGTTACTAATCCATTTCAAGATATATGTATATATTAGTTATCACTTCAATACATGCAATTCATGCTATTAAAAGTGATGAATTTTATGATACATTGGTTCTGATAAAAGAAATACCAAAAACATATAATTAGGGTTACAAAACAGGGTGGGGAAAAAAAAAAAAGGTGGTTAAAAATGAACCTTCATTTTTGTGCCAAGTAGGTGTTTGGTGGGCTTAACTCGTAAGCAACATTGCACCTTCACATTACCCTCCGGTGTCGGCATCAGTTGAAAACTCTCTGACTAAAACAAAACATATCTCTTCAGAGACACTGGGAAAACTCTAGACTTTTCCCAACTGCACAGTAAATCGAGGAATTTGCCTACATAAGAATTATCAAAAGGGTTTAAGCAACCAAAATCAGTCAGTTTGCATTGACCGGAATGCAAGGACAGAGAGGAACTGGTAACAGGCCAAACTGAGCACAACTGAGACCCCCTCTTCTGCCCGTTGTCTCTTTTCCCTGACATCTGCCTGTTTTGCTAGTTGTGGTCTTTTTGACCTCTTAAAAGATGCAGAATAGCAGCAGTCCTGGGCTCCAAGCAGGTCGGGAGACTGGATCTTCCTGGATGGGTGCGTGTGCCAATAGTGTGTTAGGGAGCTGAAGCGATTGGGTCACTCCTCTTGACCCCCACAGGAAAAATGAATGTTTAGGGAGAGAATTTTGAGTGTTTATTGATTCCTCCACTTCCATGAACTGCATCCTAATCTATGCCTGGGCAGCCTTCTTTTTCTTTTTCTCATTTTTTTGACATCTCTCCTGTCCTTCTCTTTTTCCACTGATGAAGTTTAATTTACTTTTTTGAAACCAGGGTATACCTGAAATGTGGTGACATTGGAGGATTTGCTTTTTGCTTCAGTCTCTTTGTATATACAGACTTTGCCTGTCTTTTCTCTGCCTTAAATTTCACAGTAAAGCATATTAAGAAAAGTTAATGTACAGAGTGATTCCTTAGCACATGTGGCATCACACATTGCAGATACTTTTTTGCTCTCTAGTGGTGGAGAACAAAATGTTCCCTAGAACAGGCACTAGGTATTTATTCTCTAAGGAAGCAGTTGATTGTGACTGGTAGTGTGCGCTGGATTAGGTTTTCAAGTTTTGTTTTTTTTCTATGGCATTGGTTCACCTAAAGCATGTGCAGAAAATCTTATTTATAAAATAAGATTTTTATCTTATTTTATAAATAAATAAATTTTATCTTTATCTTCCTTTCAATAGGAAGACCTAATTCAGCAAAGCACTTGGGCACCTGGCTTTCCACTGAAAGAACTGATTTAAAATCAGCATTTATTTCCGTGTGAAGTTAAGTGCTGGATGGAAGTTAGGAACATAAATACTTTAATTTGGACTAAGGAAAGCTCTTACTTTTGGTTGGTGTAAAAGGCTACTTTTTGCTAAATGGAATTAATTTTTCATAACTTTTTATTTTCAAATTTGCTTAAGAACTAATTTGGCAATTTCCTGTCCCAGGAAATGAAGAGACGACGTATAGCCAAACCATTTTCAATGGAAAAGTTGCTTTATCAGATTGCAACAGCAGAAGCAAAAAAGGAAAACGGACCGACTCTGAGTACAATATCGTCACTTCTTGGAGAGCTCAGGTAACGAATTGGGGGCCTGTTGTACCTGTTTTGTTTTCATTGACAGACTCCAGAGGTGGATGTCGTAAGTAACCGTTTCAGACGCGTCTTTCACCCACTTAACCAAGCAAAAGCCCAGCAAACGTACTTGAAGACAGCCACATGTGGAAGAAGCAGTTTCCTTGGCTGTATCCGCTGTGAGAGTGCCCATGGTTAGGATGTCTTACTCTTTAAGAATTCCCTACTTTGGGCACCATCAAAGACTTAAAACGACAGTTTGCTTTGGGTTTTTCTTTTGTTGATTCTTGGTGCTGAGAGTCAAGACTTCCTGATGCGTTTAGGTGAGCTACATGGTGCCAAGTGGTTAAATACCTGTCTTCAGTTCTTCAGCTTCTTGGCATCAGTAGCCACAGTCAGTCCGTGCCTGGAATGGGTTTTGCACCAGGAACCCTTGTCTTCAGCATCAAGATTGTTATACTACAGTTGTAGAAAGTACTTTGAATACAGAAAGTTGTCTTGATTTAAACCACTCAATAAGTGAACAGTTTATGCAAGGCTGCTGATGCATCTTGCATTAGAATTTTAATTTTAAAGAAAAAAAATCTTCACAGTCCTTTTTCTCTCCAGTGTTAAGGAAGCATGTTTAGGGTTTCTCTTAAGATAGGTAAAAAAAAAAAAAAGAGAAAATAAAATGTTGCCTGGCTTCCTGTGTAATGATCTTCTCTTTTGTTCCCTACCATGTAGTTGCTACCTATCTTTCAACTTTGTGACAACTGGTACTCGAGATGTCAAGAAAGTTTTGATGAATGGAATCTACAAACTGTATTTAACTAACTAGCATGTTCATTTGGAAAATTTCCAGTGAGACATTGAAGGGGAAAACAACCCATGTGTTGTTTTTAGTGTTCAGAAAGAAATGCAAAGAGGTGTGCTGACTGCTTTACCTGCACCTGGTTCCCCTGTGGGAATAATCACTTCCAAGTGCACTTTTTTTTTTTTTTTTTTCCTTGAAGAGGAAAAGTCTGCAACAGAAATGTTGGTGCTGTTAGACCATCACATCGACCTCTATCAGAGTGGTTCTCAAACTTGTTCTTATGCTTAGGTTGGAATTCTTTGGAGGATATCGGTCCTTCCTGTGGCTGCTTATGTAAAACAAAATCCCAAACAACAAAACCTGAAAAAAAAGCCAACCTGGAAAGTGGAATATTGTACCATATTATTTTTTCCTTTGTTTTGTTTTGCTTGTTTGTTTTGGGTGTTTTGCTGCCTCCTCTTCTGATCTGCCTTGGTTGCTCAGTTTGCCCATGCCGTTTGCTTAGCTTGGCTCTCCACCCGTCTTCAGCTGTGTTGGGTGGTGAGCTGTTGTATCCTCCCCTTCCATCTGCTCAGCTCATTCCACACTTGCTGTCTTCCACTCAGCTCCAACCCAAATTGCTCTCCTCATGCTGTGTAGTTCAGCATAGGAACTATTGTCCACCTTGCTGATGCTGTATGTGAAGGGCAGCCAGAGGGCTTAGTCTTTACTCTTAATAGACATCTCCTCCCTTTTTCCCCCGAGTGTACAGCAAGATCTTCGTATTTTGGCACTATCACTTGCCCTGCTCCCCCTTTCCTGCCTTGAAGCACATCACAGCAGGTCCTTGGTCCATCTCTGCCTCCTGATGAAGGTGGCTATGTTACTCCTGACAGCAGCGGCTTCTCACCTCAAGGTGGCTTTTGGCAACTTCAGGAATGACAGTCACGTTAGCCACATCTCCCGACTCTCCACATGACCCCGAGCAACCATCGACTTCCAGGAAGTACTCGGCAGTCCCCAGTTCTCTGTGGAGCAGTTTGAGAACCACTGGCTTGATACAGTGGTCACTGTTAAAATCCGGAGATAGCTTTTGCACATAGGCAGCGTTCCCGTGGTGCTGGCTGCCTCTCCCCATGCACAGGGAATGGCACCAACCTCCAGCAGCACTCAGGGGCTTTGCTGTGTGGAGCTCAGGTGTCAGTGTTGACGGTGGTAAAAGGGTGATGGCTGATACATGGCTTTGTGGCGGTATGAGGTGATGCCAGTGTCTAATTGCAGCCAATGTTCACAGGGACACGGAGCTGAGGCAGCGGCGACAGCTTTACGAGGCAGGTCTCCATTCTTCAGCGCGCTACGGCAGCCACGACAGCAGCAGCACGGGGATGGATGGAAAGAAAAAGCCTCGAAAGTGGTTGCAGTTAGAAACGTCGGAGAGGAGATGTCAGATTTGTCAGCACCTGTGCTATCTTTCCATGGTGAGTAACATCCTTTGCTGTCGCTGGGGTCCTGTCCCCACCGTGTTCTCATGTACTGCCACCGACTCCAGACATTGGAGAGGCAGCGCGTGACTCCAG